TTTTTTTTAATGGTTTTATTAAGATTTTTTAATGGGGGGTATCCTCTAGTCCAGTGGTTGGTTTGTTTCTTGACAGTTAAAGCTTCAGGTTATCAGTTTAAATTTTGCGCCATTAGTTTTTCCATGGACAGGGGATGTAATATGAGATGTCCTTTGTTTTTTACACCCTTCACAAATGCTTATAGAGTGCAGCCAGCCATGAAGAGTCACGCCCATGGACAGGCATTATGGGAGGAGAGCTCTTGTCCCCCCTCATCCCCCATTCATATAAAACCTCTTTTATGAGTCCCTCAGGTGTGCTGAGGAATTTTCTCTCTTGCTGAGTTGATCAGAAAACTGCGCAGAAGCTATATTTTCTTGGAAAGGCAATGCAAAATATTAGTGAAGTAAATTTTTAAAATGCATTTTAGCTTTGACAGAAAAGAGTAAAATGTGCAGTATTGTTAAAAGTTATTTTAGTGCATGCAAACACCGGTGCAATACTTCATTCTGTTCTGTAGGGGGTGACAAAGGAATCACTAAAGAAAAAGGGAATTGGCAAGTCTGAATTTCTTTTTAATTTATAATCATTTAAAAGTTTTATTTTATTTTTAACAAATGTATTTATATATTACTTATAATAACTGAGAAATATAACGTCATTTTAATAAAACATACATACAAAGCAGCAACATTTTTAATAACAAGCACATTATTGTGATTGGTGATCCCCTCAGTCACATGACTTGCACTCAAATCATGTAAATCCATATAAAAGCACTGACTCATAAATGGTAGAAAGCCACTGACTACCCACAAAGGTGTCTCTGTAAGCTCAAATACCCCAGGGCAAGTGCACAAATAAATGTCAGTTTGTTGCCAAGGAAACTATTCCACCTGGCTAGCTTAAGGCAGACCAAGTCGCCAGTCCTTGTCCACTGGAAATGGTGTGCGAGGATTTTTTTTTTTATTGTACTTCAGAGACCAATAAGAAAAGTGTGTATTTATATTTCATCATCTATCTTATGGTTATCATTGTTAGAGTCAGAGACCAGAAATGGGTTTTAGAACAGCTATGTTATGAATAAGGCAAGTTTGTGCTTTGAGTGTTAAAGCCACAGCATATGTAGATAACGTCTTATGCACATTGAATTTGACAGATCAAGTGTTTTTGTCTTGTGCATCACCCTTATCTTGTGTCATGTTATGTGAATCAAAGGAATGAATCATCTTGTTGAACTAAAAAAAAACATTCTTGGTTTTCATGAATCATAGGCCTATCTAATGGGTGAATGATAATGAATGAAGAACGACTGCATCTTAACTGATCTGAGATGTCAAATATTTGTGTTTTCTGGATTTGAGCAGAGCCCAGATATATAAAGTACACCTGATTTCCATTATGGGTCTCGTTTTTGGTGTTTCAGGCCCTGTCCACACGAACACGGTTATTTTTTAAAACCGCAGCTTTTCCTACGTGGTTTTGCCGTTCGTCCACACGCAAACGCTGCATGTCTCCGAACATTTTTGAAAATGCCTGCCAGGGTGAAGATTTTCAAAAACTCCGGTTGCAGTGTTATCGTGAAGACAGAGAAACCAGACTTTTTGGCTTGTGACGGCAGAGCCTGTTATCTCCGCCTACTGGAAACTTTTTCAGGCTTCTGATTGGCCAACATGGCTTTACAGTTGAGATTAAATCGCCACCTGTTGGTTTGGCATGCTCTTGACAGTGCTTCATAGCATGCGTTTGCGTTTTAATGTGGACGGAGATTTTTTTTTTAAACGGAAGAAGGAAAAACGTTTATAAAAATACCCGTATACGTGTGGACATGGCCTCAGACTATGTTAAGTTTTCAAAGGGAAACACAGATCCCATTTATTTGCTGGTTAATCTAGTTGAGAAGCACACCTACATCCAAAATACAACATTTGATTAGCATATACAATTACAACCATATTATAAGTCAATAAGGCTTATATTTCAGTTGATTGAGAAAGGGGATTTTATGGCCACCTGACCAAGTTTCAAAGTTCAAAGATAAGCAATTGAACATGATTACACTGCTTTTCAGGTAAGATTCATTCATTCATTTTAGCATACTTAGCATACTCAATTGCTTATTAGGGAAAAGGGACTTCATGGCTGCTTTACCAACTTTAAAAAAAAGTTCAAAATACACATTTGGACACTATTATAATATATATATATATATATATATATATATATATATATATATTTATTACTATTATTATTACATAAAAAAACAGAGCACACTTTTCTTTTAAGAACAAAGGATGCTTTTCTTCAACTCAAACTCTTTGAGAAGGAGACTCTTCATGGTGGAGAAACTGAGCTAAGCCCCCATGTGATGGGTCTTTCTTCCAGGCCCCAAAGGACAAAGACTTAAATCTCCTGCACTTCCTTCAGGCACGCTCGCTCTTCTGCGTAGATTAGCCTCCAAGGCTAGTCTGAGCAGTCATGTCTATGGGATTAGATTTTGCTCTTCGAAGCTTGGTTATAGCCCATACTTAAAGGCCCGGACAAAGGATAGTAGAGCGCACTTCCATCAACATGAGGCCCATTGATGAGCACTCCAGGAGAGCGGAGATTGTGCAACCAATATCCATGGACGCACTCACCCTGAAGGGCCAGAGACATGTTCAACACTTGTTAACAAGTGTTCTCTTGTGACGGCCCTGTGGATCATTGAGAGCTGATCTCCAGTACTTTCAGTCTTCTCTTCCAGAGAGCGATAGAGACTGCAGTGGATTTTCATCATACACAGCCCTCACTTGTTATACGAGAACAACATGGCTTCTGTTCAATTAAGTGTCTTGATGATTCCAAGTGGAACAGTAGATGTGTCACGGATGATCCAGGATTTCTGCCAAGCCTTCATTCAATCCAATATATTTGGAGGAATGCTTGAGAGAACCCAGGCTTTGCTGTGTCTATAATTCATCTGATGCAAATTCAGTAGGCTATTACGTGCGGGTGCTCATTTTTCTTTGGAAGTTAATTACAGTAATCACCATGCTGGTATGGATAGAATACATACTGTAGTGTTATTCTGACCTCACATTCCTCCCAACAAAGTATGCATGTGAACATCCAGTGAAAACGGCCATGGCTGGTTGAAAAACAACTATATTTTATTAATTAATAATCAAGAAGATGCTAAATGGACCAGATAAAATTGCATTCCAGCTGAATTTTGCTCTGTGGAAAGCAAGATCAACAAGATTAAACAAATCTTGAGCCCTCTGATGTGTGAGCGAATTTTATAAAGTGCTGGCAAAGCAAAGAGAGAAGCGAGAATGCAAATGTGCATTGTTGCAGTGACTCAGAGTGCCAGTGTGCTGCCCATGGGGAGTGGCTCACTGGCATCACCAGCCATCACAATGATTGGATTCACTCACTATAAATGTGCTAATCTTGCCATTTCTTATTTGTCTCCATAGCCCTGTAAAGAAAATAAGAGAGTCAGACAGAAACATCAGCACAAATATTCATACTCGAGAGTTTGAGTCACACTAAAACAACTGGAGTGTCAGAATATGATAGCATACCCGCCACAATTTGTTCTTGTGCTCTGTCCGCAGACCCTGCAGGAGATTTGTTAGATCGAGAGGACTGCCAGTGAGCTGGAACCAGCCATCGCTGATAAAAAAAACAAAACAAAAATAAAATAAATACTGAAAGCGGTGCAAGACAGACTAGGAGACTAGGGGAGTATTATAAGGTATATATATATATACGTATAAGTATAAGTATATATATACACTATAAGTATATATTATATATATCTATATATATATATAGATATATATTGATATATAGATATATATATATAGATAGATAGATATATAAGATTGAAGTTTTCAGACCCTTTGCAATGACATTTCAAATTTAGCTCAGGTACACCAAATTTCTCAGGAGAATCTTTGAGATATTTCTAAATATTGATCGAAGAAAATTGATTGGACATAATTAAGAAGACACAGCTGTCTATATAAGGTCTCTCTCTACACTAAATAGGTAACTTGTCTACTAATTAGTAATGATACTGATTTTAGTAAACAAAGATCATTGAACAGATAACTTCCTATTCAGTATGTGAATCAGATGTTAATTCACTCGATTCACTGAAGAGTTCATTGAAGGGTGCGTCAGACTGATTCAAACCGTTGAGTTCTTCAATCTTTTTTCGAACGATTAATTACAAGAACCGGTTCATAAGAGTCATGCTCGTGAATCAAACTGAACTGCGCGGTATATTTCTGATTCATTATAAAGAACCGCTACGTGTTACTTCTTCGTTGATCGAAAAATACGTTTGTTTGGACTTCTTTTGCCGTCGGCGCTGGAGATTCCGTCAGACATTATTCAACTTTTTATCTAACGTTATGTTTTGTATTTTACAACGTTTTATTGAAAAGACGATAAAGGTTCACATCGGTAATTCGGGCTGTTTCTCCAACAAAAATATCGCGTGGATTCAGCGCACATGTAACTTACTATGCTATGATAGGGCTACTTCTGTGTCGCCAGACATGTCACTATAAACTGTTAATTGTTCAAAATGTCTTCTTTTGCGTTTCTGGGAAAAACGAACAGCATACAGGTGAGTAGCTACATAACCTAATAACCACTTCAGTATGAGTTGAACAGTTCCTTAACGATGTTCCAAACATTTAGAACAACTCCCTTTTTTTCAGCCTTTGTCTTTTCATAGGCTACCTGATCTTTATACTTAAAGCATATCTTGTTTTTAAAGTGCAATTTTAGATTATAGTGGGTAATAATAATTAAGCCTGCTGGCACTGACACCATTGTTTTGTACTATTGCTCCTCACAAATCCCTCAGTTTAGGCCATGTTCATTTACATACTCAGCTGTCATTATCTTTCGAGTCGATTATTGTTTGGCCCATATCTCACCCTTTGTTTATGCTGTCTGCTCTATTATGAAATCTTTCAGCTGTGTCAGAGCCCTGCATGCCTCTCATGGTATTATCACAGCTCTCACTGCTCACGTTTTATTTTCTCAGACAGGAGCCTGCAACAGATCTGTGCCAGCTTTGGAGATTTGTCCTTGTGTATCTTGAGAAACTGATATGTCTTTTAAGATAAAATGAGTAGAGCCAGTGGCACAACAATTGGATGTAATATTAGATCTCTCTGATATAGTATGGTGTGTGTGTGTTTGGCACTGAGGGCTGGGATATCCATGAACATGCTGGAGCAGTGGCTCGGTGATGCACGTGACACAATGCGGCAGCTGGCTGGCTGACTTCAAGGCCACACTGACTGGTGCAGGAGGCCAATTCATTGTTTATAGGCCGGGAGCATTGCACGGGCTTGCACAAGAGTTTTCCCTGTGCACCCCACCAGGTGTAAGATTCATTCAAATTTCTAAGCGTTTTGCATTCTAAGCTTGGGAAGTGCCATCAAACTAACTTGATGTTGTTTTAATTTCATCAGGTTTTTACTCGTTCACGTCATCTCTTGGAATATCCAAAGGCAAGTTTCCCTAATAATAGCCACTAGAACAGAACACATTTTATACATGGGGGAAAATTGATTGCTTGGTCAATAATTCGTGAAAGTCCAGATATTAAAGCTCTTGATTCTACTTCATATTTGATTTTATGAAAATGTACCATAGTTCTTGTAATTGTCTAACTATAGCATTTGTTACAATTGTTTATATTTCAATAAGTTCTGTTAATGATTTACATCATATTTTGGAGTATTCAAAGCCAGGTTTTCCTAGTATCAGTTCCACATGTTAGACGTGGGGAAAATTGATTGGTTTGTCAATAATTCATGAAGTTACAGACTTTAAAGCTCTTGATTTTGTGTTGTACTTGCCCTTATGAAAATTTGCTGTAGTTCTTGTAATTGTTGCATTGTTACAGTAGGGCTAATTGCAGGTAACACCATTGATAGCTCTCATTACCATGCTTGGTCCAATGTAGATTTTTTTTGTCAACTATAGCATAATGAAAATGATCAGCTTATCAAATTATCAACATTTAGAAACTATAGCTACAACATACTTTGTACTCTTAACAGATTATTTATTATAAATTTCACGAAGAAGTTACTACAAAATTTTCCACAATAACAGTTTTAATACAATAAACAATCATTTCTAAGGTGGTCAAAAGTAGTTAAGCCTTCTAACACATTATGCTGGTGCAAAATTATATTTTGTCTTATTCGCTACAGTCTTTTTAGGTTATGCAACTGTTTTCATGTTTTGATTTTCCACATAGTGTTTTGAAATAATATTCCTAATAGAATTCAGATTTTTGCACATTTTATCGTCAGCGTTGGCTCAAATGTACAGTTCACCCAAAAATGAAAAATTGTCATTCTTTACTCATCCACATCCCCAAACTTGTTTGAATTGTTTTCTTACGCAGAACACAAAATAGGATATTTTGCAAATTGTTTCAGTTGTTTGCATAAAGTAAAAATTTAGTTTTACAGTGAGGATATTAGCAAAGCGTCTAAGCACTCTGTCCATCTGGATAATTTTTTTCCACAACTGTTAGGGTGTCTAAAGCCCCGTCCACACCAAGAACGATAACTATAAAGATAACGATATTAGCGTCCACACGATATCGTCTGTTTATTCTAAGCGCACGCGTGTCTGACGCTTTAAATTCTTACAGCAGGATGGATTCTGATTGGCTGTCATCAGCTGGAAAAAAATCGTTTTGAAAGGGATCACAACGATATCGTTTCTCTGTATCGTTATCGTTATAGTTGTGGTGTGAACTATGCTATTCTTTAATATTGAGAACGATTTTTAGAACTATATCGTTATCGTTATCTTTATAGTTATCGTGCTTGGTGTGAACGGGCCTTTAGCCAGTTTCAAGTCAAGTCACAATTATTTATAAAGCACTTTTTTACAATACAGATTCTGTCAAAGCAGCTTTACAGTATTAAACCGGAAAATAGTGTGTCGAAGGAACCAAAACTCCATCGTTCTTGTCTGGCCAGATGAAACCAGCAGTTTCCCCTTTATTAAGGTGATAGATTTTTTTCAAACAATGATGCATGACCCGTTTCCAACGGCAGTACAAAGCAGCACATGCGTGACATGCAAACCACAACTAAAGAGTGCCAGCTTTTCACAACCATTTCACATCTCATGCATGCAAATTCTGCCCTGCTTAGGAGCATCAAAGGCATTTATTTTGTCTGTCTTCACCTTGCTGCAGTATTTGTTATTGGGTGGATTTATAGTCAACGGCGCTCAGCTTGTCTTGCACTCACTCCTTTCAATGCAAAGTTGTCATGATTGATTGGAGTCTAGTCCTTTGATTGAAGTCAATGTGAACAGACTGCAACTGTTACGGCCCACTTTCTCAGCAGCGTTGGTCCCTGAGGTATTTTCATTTTCGCCATAGAAATTTTAAAGAATTCTTCAATAAAGATGCCAGATTTTAGGCAATGAAGTAGGAAGGAAGTGAGTAAGATGTAAAGTAAGAAAGTTTGTGCAGAATTGGAAAATGAATAGGATTTTTATTTCTGGAATTTTAATTCTTTAATGTGACTTATTTCTAAAAGAAAACGGAAATTCAGTGAGGAAAAAAAAAATATTTTATTCATCTGGAATTGATTAGATCTCGGAAAATGGGAGTTACTTCCCAGAATAAAACCAATTTGAGATTAATACTGTCTAAATATTTTTTTTGACCTGTTGGTTAAAATGATCTAATAGTCTACACGGCCTAAGTGACATCAGTGGAAAAGTTGTTTCAGAGGAAGAGAAAGTTAGTACATTTTGATTAAAGATTACAAATCTTGGAATAACATGCTCCAGTGAATTGTCCACAACAAGACCAGGAACATGCAGGGTGACTCCATGATGATTTGAGAAACTATTTTTCTGAATTGATCACACTACTACGGTTTTGTTATGGCTTGTTTTGTTTGCCAGCATATACTTGAGACTGCGAGTAAAGCTAGTTTCTGTTCGGTGAAGATAAATGTGTTTTCATCCAGTTTGTTTGCACAGTAGTACTGACACATAGCGCCTGTTGTGCCAGCAGGGAGCCGTCCATTGAACCTCGTCCAAGATCCTGTACTGAAGCTTCATCATTAGCAAGGTGACATTCAATATTGGTTTTCAGAAAGAAAACTACACCCATTTGATTGAGTTCTGGAACATCAGCTTTCGCTGTTTAGAGTTTGATTTGGTTTTGAATATGTTACAAAAAGAGTAGCTCAGTTCTAAATATTATTAGCTCAATTTATCTTCGGTTGGTGAAATTCATGAAATTCCAGGATGTATTATGAGGCTGAACCAAATTTGGCATGTAGGAATGTGTGGGTGCCAGGATGGAAAATGCTATGTATTTGACCATTTACTTTAGTCCCTCCCGTATATGTAAATCGTATGGTTAGACCAAATTTAACCCAGTAAACCCTTCAGGTCAGGTGTCTGAGGTCAAACAAGCTATGTATGGCAAGCCAATTGGCCTTGTGACATTGTAACCACCATTTATGACACAGTTGCTCCGAGAAAACACTCCAGGAAGGAAAAGGGCTTTCTATTTTGGTTGTACTCCGACCAGTATAAATTTATTCCATTCCTAAGGAAAGATCCAGACATGCATTTCCTTGCAATACCAGCTACACGCGTTTTCCCTCTGAGAACATTGTAGGACTAACAGGGAGTCTTGTAGGATGTTAGAGTGTGTATACTGAGCTACTAGATCATCAGTCACATTGAAGGAGGCAGCAGTAGATGTTCGTCTCGGGGGAGGATAGCCTGCAATGACCTCAAACACACTCCCATCTTACAAATCACATCTGCAACCATAGACCTCTGCCTATGGGTTTTTATTGTTACACTTGAAGAGTGTGAAAGGCGTTCTTCAAAAAGTCAGTGGTCGTCTAAATGCATATCGTTGTGGATTTCTTGCGTTAGCTACGGCAAACACAGCTATGCCAAACAAGCAGGATTACAGAAGTAGTAGTAGTAGTAGTAATAGTTTTTCCCCCAATTTGTTGTTGTGCTGGACTATTGAAATCCCCCCATTGTGTGACTGTTTAATTTGTTTGAATTCCAATTCATTAAATTCCTCTTCCTCCAATTGAAATTCCACTTCAACGTCCTGTGAAACTTGTGAAGCAAGTTCTTACATTTTGAATATTGCTCAACCCAGATGGTCATCCATCTATGATAGGACCAATTTACTCCAATTCATAGTTTTTCCCCCAATTTGTTGTTGTGCTGGACTATTGAAATCCCCCCATTGTGTGACTGTTTAATTTGTTTGAATTCCAATTCATTAAATTCCTCTTCCTGTCATTCCAATTGAAATTCCACTTCAACGTCCTGTGAAACTTGTGAAGCAAGTTCTTACATTTTTAATATTGCTCAACCCAGATGGTCATCCATCTATGATAGGACCAATTTACTCCAATTCACTGTAGGTTCATTGACCTACAGTATATTTCATTATTTGAGGTTATTGAGGTATGTTGATTCAGAAGGTGTGGTCTTGCGTCAATGGCCAGAAGCCCACATCATCAGTTGAACTGGCATAAAGAAAAACTGCTCCAACAACAGACAGGAACTAGACTCTGTCGAGAAGTTTGTGCACAATTAGAGACCTTTTATGAACCTTTATTCATATTCATCAGAAAGGCCACTTTTGTCTTAATTTCCTTCCACTTCTGCAGAGCTACGAGAGCACTTGAGCTTAATCAGAACAGGGAGAAAGCAATTCATTCTGCTTATGGCAGTGTGAAAGAGGAGCCTCTGGCATGAGGTTGGAGAGCTCTTGACTCCTCTGCTCAAATGTTCTCCTGTGGGTCACACATTTTAAACAAATGAACGAAAGATGAAATGCAAATTGTATGGAAAACGTGTGCTGGAAAATAAATGTTGTGCTGTTCACAGCTATTGATGGGATTGGGAAGTGTGAGGGAGTGTTAGAACTGGTTTTACTGCTAACATAAAGGAGCAAATGGAAACATGCATATATTTTCTATTTCAAAATGAACAGTAAATATTTTTTTTATTATAAAATATGCTATTCTGAATCTATGAAGGAATTATGTATATATTTTTTGCCTTTTTAAAATGCACAACTTGAATGCTTTTATGACTTTTCTTTTTTTTGTATTATGTTGTTCCTGCTTGGTTGTGATATGGAGTTTTGCATATATGGTAAATTAGGTGAACTTATCTGCACATAAGGAAACAAGCTCTTTATCATGGAAACAAATGGACTCGGATTTTTATAAAAAAAACTTTTTTTGAACTGTAAAACAAATGGAAACATGCATATATTTTCTATTTCAAAATGAACAGTAAATATTTTTTTTATTATAAAATATGCTATTCTGAATCTATGAAGGAATTATGTATATATTTTTTGCCTTTTAAAATGCACAACTTGAATGCTTTTATGACTTTTCTTTTTTTTTGTATTATGTTGTTCCTGCTTGGTTGTGATATGGAGTTTTGCATATATGGTAAATTAGGTGAA